GCCTATATAACTGGTCAGGTAAAAAAGGAATAATTATTCCAACTTCATTGACTTAACTTCATTAAAAAAAACCATCAAAATATTCTATTAAATGCTCATAACTTTAAAATATTTGTAAATGCTGTACTCTTTAATCGCAATAACACGTAGTTTTCTTGCCATTCTATGTGGTAACGATGACGTGGCAGGCCGTTTGAGACCATGTGATACCATTTTTTCAAAATATTCATTTTTTGTTTCCACCATATTTTAAATACATTAGTGAAGAGAAAGTTTCTATGCATTTCAAAATATGCGAAGAAACGTTCTGGGAAAATCCAGTCCTGGTAGCGTCTTTGTTAAATTTTAATAATAGAAGAGCATTAAACTTGATTCACACTAGAGCAAATTATACGCGTGGAAGTTAGCGTAGACTACTACGCCCAGTAAAGCTAATAAATCTTAGCAGCGTCACTTACGTTTGCGCCAATAGTATAATTAACCAAGTTTAAAAAATGATGAAATGAGATTATTTATAATTTTTTTTAATTATAATTAAGCTTAATTTCTATGTAAAGTATTTGAAATGTTTGATTGTAAGTCTCATCAATAACTGGTTTTTTATCGAAAGTCCGAAATTTTTGTCAATAGTAACTTGCCTGTTATGTGTTGACGCTTTCTAATTTTCAGATGAACATACCAATACACCCTTTTTAATCTCATAAATTTGGATATTAGGTCGTTTTAACATGTTATTAAAGAAATTTTCTGATAAATCTTTGATTGTTTTCGATAGCACATAAGCTCAAAAAGTGATATAAAACAAACCATTATAGGAAAAATAGATTACCAATCACTATAAACACCTCTAAAATACGATATATTGGCGAGTAGTTTTCAATTTGGGAAATCATTTGATACTCTTTTACATTCACTCTGGATGGAGTAAAATTTACCTATGTTTATTATTTTATCATTACAATTTTAAAACAAATCACTTTTTAGGCTGTTGTAATTGTACATAATTGTTTTAACCATGGTGTTTTTATAAAATTCATTTATGCCTTTTAATTTTGTTTGATGCCTGGTATTTTTTTATGAAAGAAAGATTTTCAACATTTTAAACATTTAATGATATAACAAAAATTCATTTAAGCCTTTAAATTTTGTTTGATTATTATTCCGCCTGGTATTCTTTTTTTTTTAATGATATAATTATATGGGTAAATAGTTTCATCTGGTTTCAAATAGTAATATTTGGTTTATCTCAAGGAATTATCATATTAATTATAATTTCATCTCTTTACGGCGAAGGGACGAATTACTAACATAGTTTTTAAACCGGTTGATTTACAGATTGTGTTATTCATCTTGAATATAGTAAAGATTTCACCTAGTTAGTCAGTTCTGTTAGTAATTAATAACTTGCAGATTTAAATCTAAACCGAAATAAAACTAAACTGGTAAGTAGTATTTAAAAAATCGTTTCTTAAAACATGTTAAAATATTTTTTGTTGTTGAAACATTTGTGAATATATTTGTTTAATATACATGTTGATAAATTGTATAGGATTACTGATTAAATGAGTTTATGAAATATGCAAAAAAATTCCAAGATCGTTGTCGAAACACTTATGTGCTACATTTTGTTCTTATAGCTCTAATTAATGTATTGCGGCATCAACAAATTGTAATAAGTAGCTGAAAAATAGTACATGTACAAATCATAAGAAGATTGATTGAAAGTACATTGACGCAATTGCACTAAAACTATATACATTTTTAAATTGAATGCTTTATTTAATTTATTTATAAATCAAGTCATGGTAAAATCCAACTTCCTTCGTGTTATCAATGACATGGCAGGACATACGAGGTCATTATGGAGTGAACCGTTATACCGAAACGTCCAATCTCAAGCTTCATTACATACATGAAAAGGGAGGCCTCCATGCATATCAATTTATGCAAAATAGCTTTCTTGGAAATTTCAGTCCCTGAAGTTACTTTGTTCCAGTATCTCTGCTATAAGCATGTTGTCATTTATTCTGTATTCATAAATAACTTGCATTTCAATCACAATGGTATGTTTTATTATTTTTATTATTTTTATTATTGTAATTATTATTATTCCTACTACTACTATTTCAATTATTATTAAATTCCTGTATTATTATTATTATTATTATTTATTATTTATTATTTATTATTATTTATTATTATTTATTTTTATTATTACTATTATTATTATTATCATTAAGTGTTAAAAAATAAATACGTCAGCTCTAAACCTGTATTTAAATTAGTGAATGAATCTGTTATTTAAACATATGTTCAGTAAATTGTTGAAGTTCACTATTATATTTACCTTCATTTATTAAAAACAATCTTAATTATAACACCTAAAATATAAATTATGTACTCTAAAAAGTAGCTAATTGTAATACATAAACACGTTCACACATGTTTCTTTCATGTCACTGAAGAAAATTAACATTTTATTAACACATATTGTAATAATAAATTAGAACCAGAAATTTACAACATTTTTATCATGAACAATGTAAGATTTATTGAACCAGAAGACACATTAGACTAAGTAATACAGGTATCCCGAAATTCAGTTTAGTCGTCATTATAAACATTTGCAATAAATTTTTAACAGTCTATGCACTCAAAACAAAGCATGGAATATAGTACTGATATAAAAAACATACCAAAACTTATAAAATATTAATAAAGTGATATAGATGACCAACAAACATAAATGCAAATAGCGATATAACCTTTTTAAAATATGCAAAACATATTTTAATTTTCTACTTGTGAGTACTGATCATACAGTAACAATTTAGTCTGTATTAAACATTATGATGTTTCGACGGTATATGCACTCAAAAAAAAGCATGTAAAAATAGTACTGGTATAGAAAACATACCACGAATGTTAAGTAATATGGATGACTAATAAACATAAATGCAGTATAGAGATATAGCCTTTTTTTCTAAAATTCTCAAACAAATTATAGCTTTCTACTTGTGAGTACTGATCTTACAGTAACAATTTAATCTGCACTAAAATATTATGGAATGTATAAGTACTATGACAATAATTCAGAGAAATTTGCCGTTATTATAATTAAATATATAATACAAATTAAATATTTCTTACTTGACGTAACTCTGTCAAATATCAGTGAACTGAGCATTTTTAAATTTTTTTAATTACCGTTAATGTTGTCTATAATGTTGTCCAAACATAGGATAATTTTCTTCTTGTTATTATTGATCATACTGTAACACCTTTATAAAAGATCTTACTTTATTTTAACTAAAGCAAAATAGTAGTGCCCATAACCCGTTAAAAATTAGTCGTTCTTTTTTTTTTTTAGCTATAAAAGCAATATAATAATTTTATAATGAATTGCCAATTATTACATATCAAAATAAAACCCTGACTAATTAAAATTTATCTAGCAACTCCACCATTCTCCAGAATTAACAACGTTCTCGATGTCGATACCATTCATTGTTGTTCCATTTTAACGTAATTTCTATATTCAACAGCTCGTAAGTACCGTTCAAACTGTAAATAAATATATACGAAATTGTGTTAAATGTTATGGTTTCCCTAAAGTAGACATACATTTTAGTGATCGTTATTTTACTGTACTCAATACAATACTACATAACGAAATATTGGAATTGGATGATTTTCCTATCCTTTTAGCTTTTATTTTTATTATGCACTGTACTTAAGTCGTTATGTCTGCTTGCACTACTTTACCAAATACCAGTAATCGTTAGTTTAAAAACATGGATGCAAACATGATAATATTTGCCAGAGAATTATCAAATCAACGAACAACTTTGTTTAAGACGTATCGCATTTATTTATGTTTTTCGTATTTGCGTCGAGTACTAGTTCTGTACCCCAATATAGATTGTGGAATCGGATTTGAAAACTCCGGTAGTAGCTCACAGAGGATCAAGTTTATGTGATACACAGTACTATGTGTGTGGGTGTGTGCTCGTCTGTGTGTGTATGTACCACTATGTGTTGTCTACATTAATTGGAACGGATTCGGTAGCTTTGCACAATGTATGCACAGAGAATCCTGAAAGGTAGTAGCCGAAATTATAGTAAATATATACATAATATGAGTTGCATTAAATGAGTTGCTATGTAACATCGTGTGTGGATTTACAAGCATGTGTATATGC